ACACGCCGCCATGCCAACCTAATTTTTGTATTTTTAGTAGAGATGGGGTTTCACCATGTTGGCCAGGCTGATCTCAAACTCCTGACTTCAAGTGATAAGCCCACCTTGGCCTCCCAAAGTGCTGGGATTACAGGCATGAGCTACCGCACCTAGCCTATATAGAACTTAGTCATTTGGTCAATTCTAGCCACAAGAAAGTCTGGCAAATATTGTCTTTTAGATCATTGATCACATACTTAACTGAAAATTGGGTATAACTAAGGAACGGAGAGAGAATGATGGACCTTAAGAGACAACCAGCATCTTAAAAGAACTCCCAGCAGCCCCTGCCATAGGATGTGAGATGGGAATTGGGAGGTTAATCGGGAAGCGATTGTGGTGATCCAGAGCGGCGCAGATGAGAACTTAAGCAAAGGCACCAGGAGTGAGGATGGGAGGGAGGGATACATCTGTCCATCTCTGGGTATGGACTGGACAGGACTTGGCGATGGATATGGAGAGTAAAGGAGGAAGAGGAGCAGGAATGGGTACCAGCTGTGGACTCAGGTGACAAGGAGAATGGCCATTCACGCAGACAGAGAACACATGAGATAAACAGCCTGGGGAAAGACCATGAGTTCTGTTGGCAGGTTTGGTTTGTGACACCTGAGGGACAGCCGCAGGGGTCCAGTGAGTAGAGAGTTGGGTGTTCAGGTAGATGGTCAGGAGAGGAGTCTGGGCCAGAGCTAGCAACTCGGGGGGCATCAGCCATTGCAGTAGAGAAGAGTCCTCGGCGGGGGAATGTGAGCAGGAAGGAGGGGTGCTTAGACCCAGCATCCAATCTCAGAGGAAAGAACACAGCCGTGAGTCACATCACCATGGGGCAGAGTCAATTCTGGTGTTTACATCCCTTGTTGGCCATGTCCCCAGGCTGAAGGACTCAGCTCCAAACAGGAACCCCCCTTGTAACTTCACTCTCTGGGTTCTGAAAGCCACTTGATCTTCAGGCCTAGGGCTGCTAATGGATCCCTAATATGGGCAGTCCTGGAGTGCTCAGTCCTGGAGTGCTGCACTCTCTCTTGTTAGATTTCCTGAATCCTGCCACAGTTTTATAAACAGCACTTTCTTTAAATTCTCCTTAAGTACAAAGATAGATAGATAAAATAAATGAATGGGTGGGTAGGCGGATGGATGGATGGATGGATGGATGGATGGATGGATGGATGGATGGACGGACGGATGGATGAATGGATGGATAGGTGAGTGGATCAAGGGATAAGAGGATGAATGGATGGGTGGGTGGATGGAAAAATGATAGGTAATAGAGAAAGATGAGCTCACAAGGGAAACTGAGGAGGAACATAACACCCAGGGAGGCAAGAGGAGAACCAGAAGTCCAGGGAGAAGTGAGCTACAGCGTCAAATGTGATCCCCACATTAGTTAAGAGCAGAACTGTGATGCGCTCTTTGGGTTGACCACAGAAGGTCACTGATGACCTTGACAAGAGTAGTTCCATGTGTAAGAGAAGCTAGACTGTAGTTGGTAGAGGTGGAGACATGAGGTGGAGATGAGGAAGTGGGGACAACAACTTTCTTCCTCATCTCCTCCTAAAAAGCCTGGCTTACATATTGCCTCTTCCACAAACTTTCTCTGAATCTCTCTCCTTCCTCTGTGGTCCCTGAGCATCCAACTGGCCACCTGCCATTGATGGTGAGCTCTCAGGGCAGGGGTCCATGTCTCAGGGCAGACATGATGTCATGGAAAGACCACTGGACTCTTTGGAGCAACGGAACCCACTGTCTGTCAGTTCCCTAGAAGGAAGCACATCCTGACTGACTTGGCCATGTGCAGGCTCTGGGGCCCCTGCCCAGTGTCTACTGTCCCATATGACGGGATTGGGGGTATTCCCCCAGCTTCCATCCAGCTGTGGCCTCCTAGCTGGTCAGCATCCACTAAAAGACTCCCACCTGTTCTGCTGTGGTCCTCATCTGCTCCCTCAGCCATGACAAAATGTAGGAGCATCCCATTTCCCTGCGGCCTGGTGGTCACAGACATCCTTTTTCCAACCTTCTCTGGAACTGGCCAAGACCAAAGGCAATCTCTTTTACAAACTAATGCCCAAGCTATTCCTTGGGGTTCAGTAAGGACCCGGCCGCCCCTGCCCAACCAGCTTTGCTCATCACTACCCAGACCTGTCACTGCAGGGTGAGTCACCTTGGCCCTGATCACTCAGGCCAAGGCACCAGCCAGGTCTGCATCACCAGCAGAATGAAGAACTATATATAGCCAGCCATGAAGCTGACATTTATGGGGCACTTCCTGGTACTCATATCAACTCAATTAGCCTCGCAACAACTTTATGAGATATATGCTATTCTTACCCCATTTCATAAAGTAGGAACCTAGGAAAGATCAATCTTTGTAATAATTTGACATCTTCAGATCCAACTCTCTTTTCTCGGCAAAATCATGAGGAAATGAGCCTGAATGGAGAAGGCAATTAACACTTTCGCTGGGTGCCTTATACATGCCAAGAGTGGTATCTTATTTGATCCTTACAGCAGCTCCAGGAGGGAGCCGTACTTTACCACTGATCAGCCTGAAGCCCAGGAGGGGTAGGATTAGCCAGAGGGTTAGTGATGGAACACAGGGCTATGGTTTAAAGCTGGGATGTCTTGGCTGGGCATAGTGGCTCACGCCTGTAATCTCAGCACTTTGGGAGGCCAAGGCAGGCAGATCACTTGAGGCCAGGAGTTCAAGACCAGTCTGGCCAACACGGTGAAACCCAGTCTCTACTAAAAATACAAAAATTAGCTGGACATGGTGGCAGGCAGGTGTAGTTCCAGCTTCTTGGGAGGCTAAGGCACAAGAATTGCTTGAACCTGGGAGGCGGAGATTGCAGTGAGCCGAGATCACGCCACTGCACTCCAGCCTGGGTGACAGAGCAAGACTCCATCTCAAAAAAATAAAATAAATAAATAAATAAATAAAAATAAAGCCAGGCTGCCTCATGACAGATCCTACCCTCCTAGCACTCTTCTATTTAATCTGCTTGATAATTCACAACTCTGAGAAGTGGGTAATGTTATTCCCACTACACAGAAGAGAAAAACTAAGGCTCAAGCAGGTTGCAATGACCTGTCCAAGGTTGCTCTGTAAGTATGAGATCCAAGGGCTGAGAGGTGGACTGGGGAGGTGGGAATGAAGGGGAAGAGCTGAGATTGGAACCCAGATGTCTGACTTTGAAGCCTATCCACACCAAGCAGGAAAGATGAGATTGGGGAACAAAAAGCTTGTCTGCCCCTCAGATTGTACCATGGCTTCTGTGGCTTTTATACACACACACACACCCCCCATTCTGTACCACAGGCACAGTGATCTGCCCCACGCCAGCCTCGGTACCCAGCTGTGACCTTGTGACATGTGGATGGGGTGGGGAGGGTCAGGGATGTGTGACGGGCTCTTACTCAGTCTAATGCACTAAGCTCCATGCTCCCTACGGAGATGGGGAAGACGGAGTGTGACGCAGTTGTCACTGGCTCCTCACCTTCCCTGCTCTGCTCCACCCTGGCCAGGCCACTCTGAGCCTGCAGGAGGAACCAGAGAACGGCCTGGCTTCTGGGAAAGGTGACTCACTCACAGTACACGGAAAAGAAGTTGACTTTCTCGTTTTCTGGGCCCAATTAGAGGTCATCCTTGCGCAATCCTGCCCTTTGAATCTCCTGGGTGAGACCTGGTCTGGAAATCTGTGCTTCTTAGACCTCAAGACCTGTCCACCCTCCCTGACTAGTTGCAAAACAATCACCTGTTCAGGGCCATCACCTGAGATACTGCCTGCAGAGGGACGACTTCCAGCTCCTGCTTAGGTTCCTGGGAAGGAGATCCATTTCCCACTGGGAATGACAGTGGCCTGTGCCCGATGCCTTTGACCTCACCACATGTTGCTGCCCCTTCCTTCTCAAACACTGAGAGTGCCTGTTCCTAGGAAAGGGACGGCCCCTGCCTCACCTAGGGGAAAGATCTGGATAACCACTCCAGAAAAAATCTAAATCAACCGAAATGCTTTGGGACACCCATCTTGCCCCAAGTCAACTGTAGTGGGGCGGTGGTAGAGTCAGTCATACAGCCATGGGTTCAAATCCTGGCACCACCAAATTGCCATGTGACTTTGGGGACCTTCATCTCTCTGAGCCTCAGTTTTCTAACCTGTAAAATGACTTGGTTATTATGAATGTTGACACAATAATATCTCTTAGGATTCCATGTAAACTAAAGAAAATAGTATGTGAGAAAATGTCTCGCACTGTGTAATCCCCACTCTCCATTCACTGCTACCACTTTCAAATCTGTGATCCTACAGTCTCCTACAAGCCCCACGTCCAGGCTCAGCCTGGACCCAGTAGTCCATGACTCTCACCTGGTACTATGGACACAGGCCTTTCCAACCTTCCATTGTTGGCAATTTACTGCTCTCCTGCTTGGGACAAATTCCTTTCTCCACTACATCCAATTCCTTTTCAGGATCACAAGCCTCAGAGAAAGAATTTCAGCTCATGTGTCAAAGTCAGCAAGGCCTGGGGAGGCTCTCTGGCCCGTACAGAGTCACACAGCAAGTCAGCAGCAAGTCAGCCTGGACCCAGGCCTCACAACCTGGGCTCCTTCTGCACTGCTGAACCCCTTGACCTATACAGAGTCTGCCTTTCAACGACGGGAGAGTTCTGGGTACCTGATTCAGAAAGAAGGCCTGGCTGGCACCCCAGTCTGCATGCAGGTCCCTTAGGGGTCTATCAGATGCCAGCTGGAACTCTAAACAGTTACGAACTTTCATTTCTATCTCTAATTCTTTGTACGCTTGAGAAATTCTAGCAAAGACAAGCAACACCTCACAACCCCCTTGACTGATGGTCATGGAGTCCACAGAGCTCTTCTGCCTCCTACATCTGGTCTGCAAATGTAAAACATGGAGGATGCCTGCTCAACAAAGTGGCGAGACGAAGTGCAGAGAAGGCGGCCAACTTACTTAGGTCACAGGGGTAGTGCAAAGGAAGCCAGGGTGAACTTCCTCTCCGTTCCATCTGCTTTGATGGGCAAGGCTGGACCTGCAGAGATGAGATAAGAAGAGGAAATGCTTTGAGTTCTTGGACCCCCCAAGCAACCCTCCTAGAAGAGACCACGTTACCAAGGAGCCTTTTCTGTCCCCTCACTGAACCCTAGAGACCAGAGAAATCAAGGACTTACGTTCTACCTTACATTCAATCATATGTTTGATTTCACAAACACTGAGACCCTCCAACATCAGAATAACCAGAGGACCCTTTTTAACAGGCAGATCCTGGCCCCACCCCAGATCCACAGGCTCAGAATTTTCCCAGGGGTGGAGTTCCAAGTATGTCTATTCCTGAGAAGGGTGGTTCTAATGCCGAGCCAGGGCTGGAAACCACCAAATCTAAAATTAATCATAGGAAATGAATACCGAACACATTCTAGGTGCCAAGCAATGCCACCACGGTTAGCCTTGCCACACCCAGCAAAGTGTTTTCTCGGCTCCATTTTATCATGAGGAAGGGGGAAAGGAGCATATCACAAGGAGGCTAAGGGGTTTCCTGAGCCACAGTGGAACCCGCATATAAATCTGGGTCTTTCTGACTTCAAAGCCCAGCCTTTCCTGTACCTCTCTCTGCCCACTCTCACGTGAGACATCCTGTGCTAACAGACCCTAAAGATATGAGACAAGTTAGACTCATGCCTGGGCCAGGAACTGACACCCAAATGGGGGCATCTGACACATAGACAGTTAACTCTACCACAGAGCTGCCTGAGAGGCGCCAAGGGTTATGAATCCAGCAGTGGTATGCTGGTAGTCCAGTGGAAGGGCGAAGGAAAGCTTCTCAAAGAGGTGATCTTTGAGTTGGGTCTTGAAAGATACCATGGCATGTCCACCTGTCGCCTGACCATCCATGTATCCGGCCTATGTACCTATGCCATGTCATGCACTGGATTTCGTCTTAGGGATATGAAGGCAAACAGGACATGGCCCCTGCCCTCAGCATGTTCAGAGTCTAGTGTTCTGAGTCCTCCAGACCTTTCATCCCTCCCCCTTCCTCAGGTTCTTCCTCCTCCACCTCCTCCTCTCTTCAGCCCTGCCCCCACCACCCCTCTGCTTCCTGTGGTGTGGTTAGCTCCCATAGACCCACAGTTCAGAGCACCCTGTATAGTGAGCCAAGCCTTCTTGGTCACCCAGGAAGTGAGGGTGCTCCAGGCACAGTGCTCAAGGAGGAGGGAGTCACATGGGCCCCACCCAGGCTGGACGAAGGGATGAGCTCCAGAGGCGCAGTGTGAGTCACAGAACATAGGCACCTGAGAAATGGGGATAATCAGACTGACTTCCCTGGGAAGTCAGAAAGAGAGATGAGATAAGAATAGAAAGTGCTTTGAGCTCCTCAGAAGAAAGACGCTATCAACAGATCCAGGGTATTATTAGCACCGCCATTACCTGCCTCCATTAAAGGGACATACATCTGACTACATGAGAAATCATTAACTTGTCCTGCAACCCACACATTGTTGTATTTTTCACATAATTTCATTTTTATTATTAACAGATAAGCCTGTGAAACACTCCTCGAGCCATTCGAGCATGTTAATACCCCTGTTCAGGCTGGGTAGGGTCTCTTCCTTCCCATACAGCTAGGAAAGAGCGTAGCTCAGGGAAAAGAGACTGGGCCTCCCACGACTCCCCCAGCTCCCTCGTCCAGCTTCCCCCTCAGTGCTCCAGAACCACATCTTGGCCCCTGATTTCACTGTCCAAATTCTCCCTTTCCTGGGTCCTTCATACCTTTCCTTGCTTCACCTGCCAGCACACATCTGCCTTATCTATCCTTCGATTACATGCAAGAATAATTTAGTGAACGCCTGCTGGGTGCCAGACATTGGGGAAACAAAGATGAAGTTGGACACAGTCCTCACCTTCAAGCAGACAAGTACACAGGCTATTCTTTCATTCACCCAACAAGCTCTGAGCATTTTATTACACGTGGGACTCCATGCTGAGAATGCAGAGCAGTGAGATGAACACACGTCCCTACCCACAGGAAACTCACACCTATGTGTGGAGACTGACCCCAAAACAACCACAGAAACACACACTGAGGTGTACTAGAATAAAGGAACACCCCTGAGTCCTGGGGAAACGTGAAACAGAAGGGGAATCATTCCTTAGCCTTAGAGTGGGGATGGTAGGTCATGATAACTGACTAGGGGAGGTTTCCCAGAGAAAACAGGACATGAGCCAGGTCTTAAGGTGCTAGGGAAGAAAGGGCATTGCAGGCAGAGGGAAGAGCATGAGCAAATGTGGAGGAAAGAAAAAATAGGTGTACTCAGGTCATGGGGAGGAGCCTAACATGGCTGGGGAGTTCAGGGAGTTGGGAAGAGGCATAGACATGAGGCTGAGTACAGAGTGAGCAGCAGATTGTTTAGAGCCTCGTATTCCGTAACTATAATTACAGGTCGCATCTATAGAACTAACCACGAGCAGTCAGGTGTGAAATGTTTTCCTTGTAGTAACATGTAAATCTCACCACAGCCCTAGGAGGCAGCACAGTTATGATCCTCTTTATAGATGGAGATGCTGAGATCTAGAGCCTTCAGATGCCCAGCTAGTAAGAGGAGCAGCAGGCTCAGAGGAGCCCTGGCTCTCAGGGGTTTGTTTGCAAACGGAAGTAGAGGGTTTTAGGCAGAGGAGGATGAAGAGCAGGTTTCTCCTGGTAAATAGAGGTATTGGAGGTGACGACGTGATGAGGGTAGGGGGCACTTCAAGTGGCACTTCAAGTGAGAGTAAGAAGGTGCAATTTCTGAGCGGAGGCTAGAAAACAGGAAGGCTCCCCGAGGGGGCCTCAACCTCCTCCGCAAACATCAGGGGTCAGCACAGAGTGCAGCTGCAAAGGAAAGAGCTGGAAACAACCTTACAGAAAGTCCTCTGTTGGGTACGACATCTCTTACTTACATATTCATCCCTTCATCTGATAACAGCAAGGTGGTTCTCCATAAAGCAGCACCATCCTCCTCCACCCCATTCTAATCTACAGTGTTTGAAAGGGCTGACCCTGCCTGCTCTCCCACCCTTCATAACCCCTGGCCACTATGGGCACATGACTAAAGTCTGGCCAATCAGAACCTTCTACCCACCCGTGGGCACACGACCAACTCCTGGCCAATCAGAACCTTCCACCCACCTGTGGGCACATGACCAAGGCCTAGCCAATCAGAAACCTCTACCTATCTGAAGCCTGCCAGACTCAATTCTGGGACTTTAGCTAGGAGAGGGAAGACACTTGAAATCCCTGAATCCAACGAGAACTGAAGCTGTCTTGTCCCGGAACTTCACAGTTACAAGAACCAATAATGCCCCTTTCCTGAAGACGCTTATTTGTGTTTCTGACACTAGCAACCAATATAATCCTGACTCTATTTCCCACGTGGGCTGGCTGGAACCCATGAGTGATTGGAACATGAATGATTTGCTCAGACCACACAGAGGGTCCTCTTGATACAGTGCTTCCTCCACTAATGCAATGAGTCGTCTAGGGCCACTGAGAGTGAAAGATAAAGTCCCCACTTCAATCTGGGACCTTGGATCTTTCCTGCTCTATCTGCAAGCATGGCCTCCCTCAAACTCCAATATTCTGGAGGGCCCTGTATTTTATTTGCCTTATCCAGCTACCACCTGTACCATCGTTTACTAATATGTCTTTAAATCAACCCAGTTTTTTTAATGTAAATGGACTTGTTTCAAATTAAATTTTGTATCACTATCAAGGAGAAATGCAGTATCATTTACCATGAAAATGCAGGGGCAATCAAAACAGCCACAGTGTTGATTCAGTTAAGGCTAGATAGATTCCATTGTCTCAGACTTACCCTCTCTTTGTTAGAAAGAGAGATTTGTGAGTGTTTAAAGATGTGCTAGCACCAAAGTGTTGGGGCCCCACCCAAGATGTCCTTGCAGTCCCAGCCAACACACCCACCCCCAAGCTGCTGTGAGCAATGCACCCTTCTCCAGAGTATTACCTTTGTGGATAGTCAGGAGCCGTCTCACAGGGAAATGCCTAGGAGTCACACACCCCCAACTAACTGGAAGTAGAATACCCAGTCCCTCAGCCACAAGGAGGGACCAGCTCTGCAGGGCCATTCATGCTTCAGACTGCCCATGGGATCAGACTGAGGCTGTTCTCCAGCTGAAACCATATCTGTGCTGGACCCCTTCCATTGCCTTCTCCAGCCTCCCGCACTTACATACAGGGTTCTCCTACATCCCTTATGTAATAAATCAATTACACAAGAAGCTCCACTCAGATGCTATCTCTAGGGTGAAAGCAGACGCAAAAAAATAGCCCAGATCTAGGCCCACAATGATGGGGGCTTCAACCAGAGTGGTAGCAGTGCAGGGGGTGACAACTGGCGAGTAAGTCATGCTTCATAAGCACTACTCATTCAATCCTCAATATAGACAGACATTGGAAGTACTGTTATTAGTCTCAGAGGTACTAATATTCACTTTAGAAATAGAGAAACTAAAGCTTAGGGAAGTTGATAACTTGCAAAAGGTCACAAATATCAGAGCCGGAATTTGAACCCAGAACTGTCTGACTCTAGAGCTAGAGTTCTTGCCTATCAAACTCTCCTACACTGTCTGTGTCATGTCACTTATGGAAAGATGTGTGCCAGTAGGAGGCCTCATACAACATGGACAAACATGTTAGTCTGGGACTCAGAACTGGGTTCCAGCTCTGCCTCTGCTTTTAAACACTATGTCAACTCAGGGAAGTTTCTTCACTTCTCTGAGCCTCAGTTTCTGCTTCTGAAAAACATGAGGAAATGAGTTCAAGTACTTTTTGACTCTTCTCCCAGGGTACTTTGTCTATGCTTCCAGAAAGTGTAAAATTTTATCTTGCATGTCTGCCTCCCTAGTGGTCATGTTAACCCCATGAGCCTGTGCTGGGTACAGGGCAGGCACACAGAAAATACTGGTTGAGGCTGGGCGTAGTGGCTCACATCTGTAATCCCAGCACTCTGGGAGGCCAAGGCGGGCGGATCAAGAGATCAAGAGATTGAGACCATCCTGGCCAACACGGTGAAACCCTGTCTCTACCAAAAATACAAAAATTAGCCAGGCATGCTGTGTGCACCTGTAGTTCCAGCTACTCAGGAGGCTGAGGCAGGAGAATCACCTGAACCCAGGAGGTGGAGGTTACAGTGAGCCAAGATTGTGCCACTGCACTCCAGCCTGGAGACGGAACAAGATTCCATCTCCAAAAAAAAAGAAAGAAAGAAAAGAAAAGAAGAGAGAAAATACTGGTCGAGTTGAACAAAATGAATGGGATGAAATGGAATGGAATAATTTCTATCATTCCAACAGACCTTCCAATGAACCTTCATACATTGGGAGTTGTGCTTGCCTAGTGATATAGTTTGGATCTGTGTCCCCTTCGAATGACATGTTGAAATATGATCCCCAGTGTTGGAGTTGGAGCCTAGTGGGAAGTGTTGGGGGTCATAATGGGGTGGATCCCTCATGAATGGCTTGGTGCCCTCCCTACAGTAATGGATGAGTTCTGGTGCTGTTAATTCACAAGAGAGCTGGTTGTTTAAAGGAGCCTGGAACCTCTTCCTGTGTGTCTCTCTCTTGATCCATCTTTCACCATGACATGCCGGCTCCCCTTCACATTCTACCATGAGTAAAAGCTTCCTGAGGTCTCACCAGAAGTCAAGTAGGTGCTTGTGCAATGCTTGCACAGCCTGCAGAACTGTGAGCCAAATAAACCTCTTTTCTTTGTAAATTACCCAGTCTCAGGTATTTCTTTATAGCAAAGAAAAATGGACAGATACACCTTGGAATAGATACTTGGCAGCCACCCTCTCTTCTCACAGCCAACCAGGGCTGGTGACAATAAAAGATCATTCATGGAACATATTCCAGAGGCTAAGGCCCAGGAAAGGGAAAAGCAGAAAGAAAAAGAGAATATCTTATCAGGGGTTCCAGATGAGATCTTCAATATCCCATGCAGGAATCTCATAAACCCTCCAACCCACCTTTGCAAAACTGTGTCATCCCCTAATACCTGTCCCCATTCTGTGCTCTTTACCTCAGTAAACAGAAGCTCCACCTGACCAGTTACTTAAGCAAGGAGCCCTAGACTCATTCTCAATGCTTCCCTCTCCCTTCACTCCCCACCCTAGAGATTCCTGCCCTGAATATTTCACGGGGCTGCTGCATCTTTACACTGCTTGCACCCGCTTTCAAGTCAACAGCGTTACTTGCTTGGCTTACCTTAGAAGAAGTTCAAAATCCTTATCGTGGCCCAAAAGGTTCTGTGTGACCTCTGCCTGACCTTATCCACCCCCTACTCCTCACCTTCCCACCCCCACCTTGTTCACTCACTCTTCCCTCCACCCCACTGCCCTTCCCTAGACTTCCTACACTCTGGCCACGCAGGACTTCAAGTGACTTTTGAGAGTCTAGCTCATTCCTATCCCTGGAACTTCATGCTTGGAACGCTTCTTGCTATTTCCCCAATGCCTCGTGTCACATTTCCAGGCTGCCCCCCTTATCCTTCAGCCCTTATTAGCCCTACTTCTGCCCCTAGCTATTCAATGCCCTTAAGACACTCAGTGCTTTTCTAGTTAATGCTTTGCTCACTTGTAATATTTGTTTGTTATCTTTATAAACTTTATGGACTAGACATGCCCACAGCTCTGTCCCTAAAGCCTGGAACAGTGCCTGGCATGCAGCAGGGCTCATTAAGTATTTTTGGGTAGATGAATGAGTAAACAAGAGGAAGAAAGAGCAAACCAATGTGTGCGCCTGGCACTGTCCCTTTGCTTGCACCATTCCTTTGGCCTAAACCAGTCTCTTCTCTTCCTTCTCACAAGGCCACCCCTTAATCTCACTTGCTCCAAGGATGCCTCCCTGGTAGCTCCTCTTAATGGAAGAGATAAATACTCCTTTTACTGGCTGTCACAGGACCAACGTGTTGTCTAAACTCACCACGCTTCAGTGAACCCACTGTAGCCTGTGACCACACGCTGCTCTGTATGTGTAAATCTTGCCTCCCTGCTAGAAGACAGCTCACCGAAGCCTGATGCTGTTCCACATGGTAACGGGTGCCAGATAAAGGAGTAGAGGGGGTCACATGCCTGAAAGTGAGCTCAGCAACCAGAAGGGGCTAACTCATGGTAAAAGGTTTGAACGTGACAGCATGTGATATAAATGTAGCCTAAGTTCCTTTGCTTTCAGGCACTTAGTGAACACTGTCTATGCGTAAGGCTCTGAGTTAGAGTGGAACAGAAGAGGGAAAATAAGCATGAGCCCTGATCCCTACCTGCTGAAAGTTTATGGTCTAGTTACAACATAAGACTTGATTGTAAGTAATCACCATATAAGGCTATCGGCTCAGTGCCCAGGAGAACCCCACCTCCGGAAGTCCATTTCTTTATCACTAAACAATCCCAAAGTCTGGCCCCATGCCCATGAGGCACCTGGTGTTGGGTTCCCCTTCTCTTACTGGGCGCTGTTCTCCTCCACAACATCATCTTCACTAGAGCTCCTATTTCCATCTTCCTGTTTTATCTTCTCCAGTGGGATATGTGTGTGCGTGTGTATATGTGTCTGTGTGCGTGCACGTAGTAGAGGTAGCTTGCCCCAGATGAAGTGCATGTTGCTAAAACCATTCCTAAGCTGTCTGCGGAATCAGCTGTCCCCGTTCCCTGGGAATTGTTTACAAGCGCTTGAACTTAATGACCTGCCTCTAGCAAATGCATCCAGTTGGGCAATGTGGTCAGTTGGGTAAATGCTAGACCCTGGAGTCCAACGGTCCCAGTGAGAACTTGGAGTCTCTAAGCACGCTTTCAAGATCCTTTCATGGTAAAAGCAAAGGTGATTTAGATTTATTGAGTGAGAGATGTCCCTGATACCAAGAAAAATAGATGAGTTGGGAAAGGTGACTCTGTTGGCACTCTTCAGGGATTGAGACGGGAGTTGCCAAAGTTTCTCAAATACCACCACCCCCACCTTGAGCGGCTGGGATGATGAAATACTCTGAAGAGTTTGATTGCCTGTACTGATGAGCTGGACTGAAGCCCAGCAATCCAGCCTACCTCCTAGT